AGTACCATAATTTCATTACCTCATATATTGTTCTTGAGCACTCAAACCTTGCATTTGGTGTAGAGACGAGTTTAATACACCAATGTCAAGTCCACGTAACTTTAAAAATTCAGATCTTTCCGTATCCCATACGTATGTTAACTTCTTGCAATTAAAAACGACGATCGATTGAACCTCTATAAATAGGATTAATCGTTAATAATTTGTCTATGCAATTAAATGATTGAAATTTATGTATATAAAAATGTATTTTTTTTTTGCTTACGTTTAAAATGTCCACCAACCAAGTGCACAGACAATGTTGAAATTGCTTCCTTCTCTTCCTTTATAGTTATCATGCTCCCATTATCCATCCATGGCTCATTATCAATCAACGATTCTCCATCAAACGGTATGTTACTTTGGGAGAAGAAAAAAAAAATAAAATAAAATTCATTTCATTATTATTTTCATTCAGATATTATTATATAAAATATCTCATTATACTAACTTAACATCGCGAGCTGCTAACGTTCTCAATTTTTTCACGTAATAACTAGTATGCTTTCCTTGAAACTTTTCGACCAAAAGAACCGTTTCTGCCTCATCCAATGGACATTTGGAATGAGTAGCTAGCAACATAAGGTGTGGTACCCAATGGAAAACCAATCGCAAGAGACCACCGGTAACGAAGATGAAGAACCAGGTAATCACAGTGAAAACATGATTTCTTTTATAACTAGAATAAAAAGGTTAGACACGTATAATATCTAAAAACAGATAAAATTTTATAAACTTGTCGAAGTTGTTAATGGAATTCGTTCTTCTTTCTTAATTACCCATAAATTTCCATCTGATCTTCTTCGCCCGGGTTAATGTAATCCACACCATTTTTCAGATGAAGGAGGCCATTGCCTCTCGTACCTAAAATTAAATAAATACATCTAATGATGTTAATGAAGAATTTCAAATGATCACCGTATTTTTTATATACGATTAGATGGAATATAATTACCGGAAATCATTTTATTAATTCCGGCAATGACTTGACAAGAGATCAAATAAAAAAATATTACTCGTATTCCAAAAAACACGTTCTTAATATTGCAAGAGAACACGCGAACGTGTTTAATACCTCCTTTCTCCCTCTCCCTGTCTCTTTCTCTGTTTCTCTCTCTCTCTCTCTTTCTCTCTCTCTCTTTCTCTCTCTCTCTCTCTCTCTCTCTCTCTCTCTCTCTCTCTCTCTCTCTTTCTCTCTCTTTTAAAATAAATTAAAAATACATACAAAATATATAAAAAAAAGAAAAAAAGAAAATCAGGACTGATTTTATGGACACAATCATTTTCATGGCTATTACGAGAGTTAACGAGGGGTTCGTGAATTTATAAATAAAAAGATCAATGACATCGATTTCTCCTTGATTTCAATGTGCTTACATCAGGAAATATTTATCATTTACCATTCTTACCCTCCAGAAGTTCCGTTTTTTGTTCGCGTTGTTGTTCCGTCGTCGTACCAGTAGCACGAGTTCCAAAAACGCTATAAGCGTTTCTAGCGAAGCTAAGATTCAACTTGCTTGGCGTCGGCGGCATGATGATGACGACGTAAGATGACGACGATGATGACGATGATGATAACGATGAGACAATGATCGATCGATTGATAGATCAATCGATCACGTAGGACAACAAAATAAAACTTTTTCTTAATTTTCTATTATTTCTTTATCTATCTCTCTTTTTCTCTCCCTCTCTCTCTTTCTCTCTCTCTCTGTCTCTCTCTCTCTCTCTTCCCAGGATATTTAGACGACGAGTAGGCAATCGTGATTTTTGCAAAGATTTCTTTGCGGCTTTTTCACGAGAGGAACTTCTCCTCTTCGTCTATTTATATTCTTGTCCTTCTTCCCGATTTACTTCTACCACTACTACATATTATCACTAAAATTTATTTCTTATGGATTATTATTGTCCATTGAAGGGGTAGGGGATGGGGGTGGGGGTTAAGGGGAGGCTGGATTATAGAGAAGAAAAAATTGGTGGTACGATTCGATTCGCGATCTCCTCGCCTTTCTTTTTCGTTTTTCTTTTTCTCTTTGTCTCTTTTTCTCTCTCTCTCTCTTTCTCTCTCTCTCTCTCTCTCTCTCTCTCTCTCTCTCTCTCTCTCGATTCTCTTTATCAGTGGTCAGGTTCTTTCTCTGAAAGTAAGTTCATCTATAACGAGAAGAACCAAGGACACTCGAGAGAATAATCGACGAAAAATCTATTCCAAGAGGAAGATAGCGAGGCGATGATGATGGGCTCTCGGTGACGAGTATAGGAGTACGTCAAAGGTCGGTGAACCTTGTTTTTCTTTTCCTCTTTTGTTCTTCTTTTATTCGTGGGCTAAATAATACCCCCGTCTGCTACCGACACCGATTACCCGCCATTTTGGGATCTCTCTTGGAGGTTCTCGAGGCTCTTCTAGGTGGACCGTTTTCTACCATTTGTATGACATTGATCTTAGGAAATTCTAAGGGTTTCGTACTATCATCAGAACTTTTGGCAGATAGAGCGGCAGGAGAATATGGAAGCCGAGGAGCAAGCCGTAGCCGATGCTATCGCTTCGGATCTGCCGGCGGATTCCTTGATTCGTGTCAGTCTCCGGGATCGGTGAGCTTTCGCCAGCCGATTCGCGGCGTCGTTACCGAGCGTTCACCCTCGCTCATACCGCGCTCAAGGCACACCAGCCTCGAAGAAATCTTCTCCCTGTTGCTACTTGTAATAAGTTTTTCACGAAGTGACCTTGACCTTAACAGGAGAATCCTAGCTAACTCGAGATCCGTGAAACGGAATGAGTTATCGTGAAAAAGATCGTTTTGATCCGAGGTATCAAGTCGTCTCCTCCTGTCTTTGATCGATCCACCAACGACGATGGCGACGACGACGACGATGACGACGATGGCGTCGTTGCTGTTGCTCTTTCTCTCGGTCTTACTCTTACTCTTCTTGATGTTGTTATTCTTTCGACTCCTCGCCAAACCGCCCCCACCTCCTACCGCCTCCTCTCTTTTTTGCTCGTACCACCCTTTTACTGCGCCCTTGTGCGATCTCAAATACATTACGGGTTATAAGGATATCTTTGATGCCGTCGGGGATGTCTCGATCGGCAGATTTTTTCCTAGCAGATACCTGCCTTATCGACCTAAGATAATAATTAACGTTTAATAATTAAATATCGAGGGAGACCGAATTTTTCGTTTATATCGGTCGGGTATATGTTTTGTTCTTTCTCTAACTCTCTCTTCTCACTATTACTCTTTTTCTCTATCTCTCTTGTCTTTTCTTTTTTTACCACTTGACTTCTTCTTTTTTATTTACTTCTTTTTTTTTCTTCTTTTTCTTTGTTATATCACCACACACACACACTACGCGATTATTGAAAATGTATTCTGTTTATTTCTTCCTATTTTCTTGGAAATTATAAAAGATTAATTATCGATCGATTGATAATATTACACAGATATAATATCACACACGTTCGCGAACGGACGACGTTTGGCCTCGAAAATTTACGTTCACAAAAGTCTATGAATTCACACAAGGGAGTCTATATATAGAAAGGATTACGTCAACGACCAAACGAATTTTGTTTCTTTCGTTTTATGTCGAACGCAATGCACTTGGACAGTTCGCAGCAAATAAACTTCGTTTGACGTGATTCGTCTTTTTTTCTTTTTTTTATTTGCGGTTATTATTATAATAATAATATTTATTATTATTATTTCTTCCCTCGGGCAAATGTCGAATGGTGTGAACGACACAACCCCACTATATGCATATATGTATATGTATATATATATATATATATGTATTAAGAGTACACACTATATAAATATATAAAGTGTATATTTACGTGTATATATATATATATATTTTTTTGTTCGTCTCTCACCCCCTTTACCTTTTTTAAAATATATCTCTTAATATTCTTTCAAACGATCCGCTTTAATAATTCACCCTCTTCGGGACTTCTAAGTACAGAGAACACCGTGCAAAAGTTTGTTCCTAGCATTTTGCTCATAGTGAAATCAAAACTCGAAACTCGATTGTAACCTTCCTCGTATATACTTTCGTTGAAATTGGCAGACTTTCGCGTTTTTCTTTTCCTCCTCCTCGTCGTCGTCGTCGTCGTCGTCGTCGTCGTTGTCGTTTTCGCCGTCGTCGTTGTCGTTGTTGTCGTCGTCGTCGTTTTCGTTTTCGTCTTCGTTTTCGTCTTTGTCTTTATTACGTTTCTAACAACTTCGTCGTATCTCTTTTTATTCTCAAGATCGCGCAAATTAAGAAACGGAAAAGAAAAAGTCTCCCACTTCTGGGAGCTCACTTTAATGTCTCTCGTTTTAATTCTCTTTTAAGAGACGACCGCATCGGGCTAAATCTTTTCGATATTCTTACGATCGAACGATATAATATAAACTTTATTAACTGTCGTTGATCCAATGACGATTATCTTATATTATATCCGATATACTCACGAGCGCGCGCGTACACACTCGCCCATATATATATATACGCACACATACACATACACGCACGCACCACGCACGCGCACACACACACACACAACACAAATCACACTCGAAGAAAGAAATAGTCGATTAAATTAAATACGTAACTACTTTGTTAAATATATAAACACCGACTAAATAATCGCACACTATCCAACTTTTTATACTCTTCCTGAAACCGTCAAACACCGTCAATTCGCGACGCTAGACTGAGGCAACCTCGGACAGACACGATTTGTGCTGGCTCGCTCGTTAGCACTCCGGTCGATTCGTTACGAGCAACGTGCTCCTTTTAAGATGGCGGTTTCTCGTTGCCTTTCGAAGCGCCGTGCTCCCTCCACCACGATTGGGCGCTTTCCCACGAATATTCTTTCTCTCTCTCTCGTCCCTACTAACACTCCTTCTCACTCACTCCCTCTCTCACACATCGACTCCTACTTATTCACTCACTCATTTAGTCTCTCTATCTATCTCTCTCTGTTGTTGCTCGATCGAACGCCCGAATTAAATTAACCAAATAAAGTCGAGAATACGTTTCGTCGTCAAAATTTTCAATGATTTCGACAAGTCAATGTTTCATTTACGTCGATTAAATAGACGATGACTAATCCTTCATGACGTCCAACCAATTTCATGATACTTGGAACGCGAACGAATTAAGGGAATTATTTGGCATGTAAGCTTTTTCCACTGTCTTTCTCTCACTCTCTCTCTCTCTTTCTCTCTCTCTCTCTCACACACACTCTGTCTGTCTCTTTCACTCTTACTGTCAGTTTCAGGAATGCATCGAGCACGCGCCTATCTCTTCTAGGGCTGTCACGTGTTCTTAACGAACCCGATGCTTCTCTCTCTCTCTCTCTCTGTCTTTCATTTTCTTCTCTGTTTTTTCTTTTTTTGCTTACACGATAAGAACGAAGAGATAGAATTACACTTATGAAGAAATTTTAGTATTTCTTACGTCAGCGTCGCAACGACGTTTCTTCTAATTTGTTAAAAGAGACGTATATAATTCGTTTCGTTTTCCCTTTCTTTTTCGATCATCGTATAAAGAGAGAGAAAGAGAGAGAGAGAGAGAGAAAGAGAGATCGAGAAAAATCGGAATTTTCTTTGTTAGGAAAAAACCAAGAAATCTTTTTCCTCTAGTATCTCAACGTTTTTATTATTGAGAGAACGATCGTTGGTTCTTCTCCAAGAGAAATCTCGTTTTCCTTATTTTCCGGAAATTTACATTGTTTAAACATTTATAAGGTATCGCAGTGAGAAAAGAGAATTCATTTATTACGCAATTAAAAAAGATATATATATATATATATATATTGTATGTACAATGATTGTCTCATCGAATTGAAATTGATCATTACTTTCGTATTCTTTCCTCGAGAAGAACAAGGAAAAGATATCGTTCATATGATACACGGAATAATAAGTGAGAATTTGAATATATCCAATTAATTTATTCGTCAAATAGAACATGGAATTTCGCGAATAATTTGATCGAATATTTTTCTTTTTATTTTCTTTCTTTCTTGTTCTTTTTCATTTTCTTTTGTTTTTTTATTTCTTTTCCTCGTTGCAATGTTTGAATTGGGAATTTTCTTGCGCCGGACCTGGAACTATCCACTTTGCCCCCTCTACCGTCACTAACGGGTACTCTCTCGACCTACGACGATGACGACGACACGCGAACGGTGACGAACGGCGACGAACGATGATGACCGTGACTCATTTGTTCTCTCACCAAATTCTACCTCTTGCTACGTATCCGCCCCTGCTAATTACACGACCCTAATGTGTACACTTGTTTTCATAGTAATTCGGTATCTCTCTCCGATGGTGGTCAAAACTTAAATATATGTGTGTCGCGCTCGTATATGTGTATAACTGTTTAATGGTTATATTGTAAATGATTCTCTTTGCATCTTTATCTTTTCTTTTTCATTTTTTCCACTCTCTCTCTCTCTCTCTCTTTCTATCTCTTTCTGTATGTTTTGTATATGCGCTTTCTCTCTCTCTCTCTCTCTCCCTCTTTCTCTCTGGCACTTTATACATATTTTCTCTTTCTTTCTCAATACAATTTTCCATGCATTCTCTCTCTCTTTCTTTCTAACTTCATACATTTCTACAGAATATTGAACGATCTTTATTTATATCCTCTTTTTGCTAACTTAAACAACTGATGAAATAAACGCATCGAGTATGCTCTGATATATTGACACCTCTTCGCATTCTCTGATTGGTCAATTTCTCTTCTGTTTACATCTTTACAGGTACGTTTAGACTAACTTTCGCAATTCATTCTCACGAGAAAGACACGTGTGTCCGAGAATGTGCTGCGACCCGTGGTCGATTGCTATCGTTAGAACCAAAAACGTGCCACTCGATTGGTCATTTATTTTAGCGCGATATTTACGCGAAAGATGTCGTTTTCATCGAGTTGTACGAGACGAAATATTGCCTTTCAACTTCTTCCCCATCATTTTAAAATCTTTATAATCGATCAAGAGATCTTTATGATCGATAAAAGAGAGAATGTAAGAGAAAGATAAAGAGAGTGAGAGACAGACAGAGAAAGAGAGAGAGAGAGAGAGAGAGAGAGAGAGAGAGAGAGAGAGAGAGAGAGAGAATAAATAATAATTTCTTTTAGCCTATTTGCATTCGAAATATATATATATATATATATATATTATTTAGGCCATACATAAGACACTTTAGGCCATATATATATATACATGGCCTAAAGTGTCTTTTATTATCAATCATATTATCAATTATATAGGTATTATCATGGAGATATATCAAAAGAAAAGATATCGTAAAATTGACAATTATATCACGATGTTTCTCTCGTTTATTTCTAGTAATTTTTTTAATTACGTAACAATCGTTAATTGGGTAAAATCAATTCATCCTGGTAATTGTAAAACAATTGAAGTGCAACTTGTTATAGTAGTTAAGAATTACTTATATCCGAATTCTTATCGTCACTAGTTTCAACGATTTTATTTTCGAGATTACAACTACATAGATAAGACTAACGCCGTAAATTGTGATGCTGTTATTTATTGACTCATCAGATAATAAAGTCTTATGCATCAGAACTAGAATATGATTTATGTATTATGTTCGTTGACTTTATTAACATCCGAATTATGTGACGATATATATATATATATATATATATATATATATATATATATATATATATGTATAATATGCATATCGGGTGTTCTGTTCGAAGTTTTACAAACAATTATTAGCCGAACTATTCGTTATTAAAAAAAGTGTTCCAAGAAGAACTTTGTTTTGCGATAAATACTTAGCGATGGTCGTAAATCTTTTAGGTGGCCGTGTCTTAGAGATTTCAAGGTGACCCGTTTTTTCTTAAATGGAACTATTCATTTAGGTAGACGTACAGTCACTTATATGACTAATTTATCGGCCTATAATCTGTTGATCATTCAAGGTCATTGATTACCATTCAAAAGCTTATCTCCATTGAATGTTCAGAAATTCTTCCTCGTCTCTTTTATTCGGAAGTACGACTTTACTCTATCCATAAATGATACTCCACTTGAAAGTTGTAAAACTAATTTATTGGAAGGTATTCCTAATACGATTTTTTTCATATTAATGATTTGTAATGACTTTTCCCCTTTGATAAATTTGATCCTTTATATTTTAAGTCACTATGGAAAATGAGCACGGTTAATATTAATAATTCCAATAATATTGATTGCTCTTTCGGAAGCAAAAAGTTCCTTCGAGCAATCTGCAGATATTCTGTGTTTTAAACGAAGGTAGCGATAAATGAAATCATTAGCGTAATTACAGTAATTCGTGTTTACCACCGAATTCAATGATAAGCCTAATCTTGAGGACGTTCAATGTGAGTAAGTTTTAAAGTACAATATGGCAATGATACGGCGAATGATCAATGTATTTTACGTCGATGAATTGTCATCGGAATGAAATGGGTTATACCTGTACCTAAAACAAATAGGTAAACTAATAATTCCATTTAAGAAAACAATGGATTATCATGATATCTGAAATGTATGTCCAACTAAATAAAATTTGTATTTCATCAGAAGATGTAGCAAAATCGAAACAAAATAATTTCTGCTTGAAACAGTTTTTTTTTTTTTTTTTTTGAGTAACGAATAGTTCGAAAGATATATAATTGCGTGTAAAACTTTAAATATCGAACACTCGCTATACATGAAACATACGTACATATAATATATATTCTAATGGGTCGAGTTCGTATGATTTTGTAAAAAATGATGAATAGTTGATTTGAAATAGTTGATATCACTGTGAAAGATAATTATAATGTATGCAATTAGATGCAGCTATCTTAAAGATAAAAATGTATAATAAGATTAGCAACATATCTCAATCATGTTTTTTTTATCATTGATATATATGTATCTATCTAAATTCTAAATAGAACATTTTAGACGGATTAGAAATAAGAAAACGATAAATTTTTAGATTACTCGAACTTGAAGAAATATTTTTTTCTATCTAATTCGTATATTTTCCCCTTTTTTATCTAAGCGCTAAATAAAGGTAAACGTTTCATATGGATTACAAATAAGAGAGTAATGAATTTTTGGATTATTCGAACATGAAGAAATATTTTCTTATCTGACATAATCCTTTTTTATGCCTACTTTTTTAATAGGTTAAAGTTCATATTCGTTTCGAATGTCTCACAGAGTCTGTCTAATGTCGTGCCAAAATTTCGATCGTGTTTAGAAAATCACGTCATCGTAACTAAGCTTGATTTTTCGATATTTACATACGTGATTATAAGTCTCAAAATGAATCATGAGATTTTCTGAAATTATTCTCGTAAGATACTATTATAAGATCTATTCAACTTAAATATAACAAAATATTTGCGATTCGAAGCAACTTTCAAGGTTCAAATAACTCATTTTTCTATTTTTATATACATATGTTTGAGATTTTTCTGATTAGATAGCTGGCACAAATGAATACTTAACATCGGTTAAGTATCATTTCTGTGGTGGCTGATTATTATATATAAAAACTAACGCATTTCATTAATAACGCTCATAATTGGTAATTTTCGAGTCGTAATATAAATAAGTTCGGTTATATTCATATATATTTATACTTGCAAAAATCGAACTTATTTAATTATTAATAAAATCATTATTAAAATATTCAAAAATTTAAGAAAATTGATGAAATTAAGACTAAGTAAATAATATTCAATGCAATAAACAATAGCATAATAACGATTGTAGATATATTTCAATAATTACGTAAGTTGCATCTATGTGAAAACATTAGTAATACTCGTGACAGATTAACATTGTGTTATTAAGACATTTGTGATTCCTTAGACAAAACGCTTATATGATTATTGTGTTTTTCAATACTTATTGTTAGAATAAACGCGCATTTCTACCCAATCGAGACATTTGCCACGATATGAACTATTTGCCCTAATAAGCCTGAAGAACGTACGAGTACATATTTGTATTTTTAATTCACGTATTGCCAATCAAATTGTTGTATACGCTATCAAATGGCTACGTGGTTTTAGTACTATTGCGACATTATCAAATAATTAATATAATATTTTTTTCAAACTAGATATATAATTCGATATCAACGAAATGAAGAAAATATTTTTTTTCATTTACTTTTTTTTTTTTTTCTTTTTTTACGATTAATAATTCTCGAACATAGTTGGTGAAATTTTATTTTACTTTTTATATATAATAATCAGTCATCAATGTGTCAAAGTATCATTAGCCGGTTTACTGGTAAAAAAAGTCTAACATATACATAAAAATAAATCAGTGATTATGGAAATAGACTTAATCATTTGAGATATTAAAATTTACATATTACATAAAATTTATTTACGCAATATGTAAAAATTACATAAAATAATTATTTTTCAAGAATAAATGATGTAGATATATATATATATATATATATATATATATATATATATATTTGTTTATTTTTTTTATTATAGAAATATAATTTTCAAATAATTTAAACTCGAACATTAAACTATCATTATTTATAATACTTATATCACTTTTATAATCACAAAATCATATATATGATTATTATAAACGTTGACAAGAAATCAGAATACATTTGATAATGCTGCTACAATAATTTTTAAGGTTATCTTTGATACTGGATCGATTAAATTACTCATTTCTTCTTTGCTAATAATGTTACGCTTATAAAATTTGCATGTAAATATTAATAAATACAAGAAGAAATAAACCCTCGTCATTCGCACACGAGTAATAATACACATGTTCGTATGTATGTATATATGTATGTTAATAAGTACATTTGAGATTATGTAAAACTGTTAATCTTTTTTTATTCTTTCTTAATAAATTATCTGTGATAACGTTAAGAGGATAATTCAGGTTTGAGATCTTATTGTATTTCATTATCCTTTTATATCTCATTAAATAATTATCCAGTAATTTATTATAATTATTCATCATTTAGAAATTCTTTAATATTATTATTAGGTGTATGTGGATATGTACATTATCGTGAGAATATTTATCTGTTAATAATAATAATAATAATAATAATAATAATAATAATAATAATAATAATAATAATAATAATAATAATAATAATAATAATAATAATAATAATTATAATAGTTATAATAAATTTCAATATTTTTTAAGAGTAAAAAAAAGAACGTTCGCCATTTTTAATTAATTAATCATTTTGAAGCGCGATTATTATTAATGGCGGCCAGTTCGAAGATCTTTGATGATCGTTTTGAGCATTACAGCGTCGTTTCTTTTCTTTTTTTTTTTTCCCCCTGAATGATCAACGAGGTCGAGGCCAAATTTATTCGACGTACGTTCGTTCATACGTATATTTATATGACTATTCCCTGTAGAAATATCAATCTAAATGATTAACTCGATCGACGAACCGAATCTTAAATGAATGGTGAGGAATTACTTGTTTAAATTTGTCGGATCTTTTTATTTCTTTTAATTGTTTGTCTGCAATGAAGTTTATGTCAAATCGAGTAAAAGGAGAAACTGTGAAACAACTGTTTCCTTTTCAGTGACATTTTTGAATCATTTGTATTATTCTAATGTCTCTTCTTTTTTTCTAATAAATATTTTATATAAAACGATATAATATGCATGGTATAATCTGCATAAATTGGCATAAAACAATTAGCAAAAAAAAGGAGGTCTTCTTTTTTTTTCTTTGGATCGTATGAAATTCTATTGACCAATAAGACGCTTTGTAAAAAACGTTCGAAAAAGACTCAAAAAATGAGAATCTGAAATTACTTACGTCACGTTTTATCATTTTTTTTTAACATTTTGCGTAGATCTATTTAACGGAAACAGATTATTAATCGCATGATACTAAAATCATAAGAGGATTATTTTTTTTACGAATTATTACATATCTACAGATAATCTCCAAATCGATCATATCAATTGTGTAAAAAATAAATCAATTAAGCACAGTTATAAGGTATATGAAAGGAAATTAATTTCAAGTTAGATTACATCCAATTCTTATTTAGAAATATTTAATATATTACTTTTATACCTAATTTTAATCGTTTAATATTATCAATACATTTCTTTGTTATAGGAATAACAATTTCTTTTTTGCAATAAAAGAAAATTATATTAATAATAATAATAATAATAATAATAATAATAATAATAATAATAATAATAATAATAATAATAATAATAATAATAATAATAATAATAATAATAATAATAATAATAATAATAATAATGAACATCTCGTTTTATATTGAGATGAAATAATAAAAAAAATTATATTAATAATAAATATCACGCTTTATATTAAAATAGAATATTAAAAATAAAAAAAAAAAAAGAGATAAAAGAATTAATGTCCCGTTTTTTATTTTAGACTAATATGAAAGAAAAAGAAAATCATATAAATAATATGTATATCACGCTTTATATTAAAATAAAGTAATAAACAAAATAATAATAATAGTAATAATAAATAATAAATTATCGTACCATCCATGATATCCATGCTGTGATGTTAGGTTTAAAACTGTCTTCTTTCTTTCGAGCAGGTTGATAAACTTCGGACTCTTCAACTTGAGATATAGATCACTTTCACGAAAGGAAGGGTGTAACGTTTTTCAAAAGTAATCAAAAACTATGGGATTGTTGGACATCGCGACTCGACGCGGTGCGTCGTTTGATTTTGATAAGACGTAGGCACATGCACCGAAAAATGATGCACTTTAATTTGATGGAATAAGAGCGAGGACTACCTCATAGTATGAAGAATCGGTAAGCACTAAAGAGAATGATCAAGAGAAGGTCGTAAGTAGGAAGAGAATGTCGTCTGGCCGTCTGTGACGTCCTCCGTTGGTTTGTTGATACGTTCGTTCGATGTTGGCAAAATAAAAGAAAAAAAAGAAAAAAAAGAAAAAAAAGGAGAAATCCGAGAGGTAACGAAAACAAGATTCTTTCTTTTTTTTTGTTTGCTTTTCTTTTTTCTTTAAACAGATAAAACACAAGGACTTGCTTTCGATTCTTCGTTTGCCTTTTCGAAGATCAGATTTAAAGGTCACGACTTCAATAGTCCTTAATAATATTGTTTTTCAAACAAATTGTTAAATTCTTCATATACCTATATCCATTTTCCTTATTAATCAAACTTGATCAAGGATCAGTGAATACCCGGCGAATAGATGTTAAATAGATTACGTTGATTTACATTATTCTCTCGAGTTCGATTATCCGATCCAGCGATCGAAGTTACCGTCATTCCCGGAGTATCTTCGAAAATAACAACAAGTATTAAAATAAAACCAATAACAACTATAATAACAATATCAATGACAAGAATACTACAACAACAACAACAATAACAACAACAGCACGAATAATAATAACAACAATAACAACAAGAACAACAGTAACACTATTGATAATAGTATTCACGAGAGTAGCAACAACAGACTCGACGAACCGAGCGACACTGTTCGCTTTCACTCGTCTATGCTTTTCGCGCGTCACCACGTTTCGACTTTCGATGACATACAAACGATCGCGATTGGCTGAAAACGTTCGTTATCAGAGATCGACTTGCCATTGGAACTGTTAGTTTAACGAATACATGCTTCTAATCGTTTATTTTATATTTTTTTATTTCTTTTTTCTTTTTCTTTTTCTTTTTCTTTTCTTTTTTTATCAACTTCCGAACGCGATTTCGTAATAACAGACTCGACGACGGAGTGGCTTACGATAAGAGAATATATCCGTATATGTATACGATATTTATACACATATATATATATATATATATATATATATATATATATATATATATATATATATATATAGAAGTAGTAAGTTTTATGTGTGTACATACATACGTACGTATGTATATATGTATGTACATACCGCCTTTCTCTCGATCCTCGACATTCCTTTGCTCGATCCACAAGTAGAGACTTTTCCTTTCTCGTTTCCTTCGTTGAATCTAAGCACAACCTGCAGATTCCATTGCGTTCTCCATTCTCATATATTTTTCTCGTTAAATACACGTATGTATATAACTATGTGTATGTGCGTGTTAGTGTTTACGTGGAAACTTTGAAGTTCATTAAGCGGTCTCAGTCGTGTCAGAGGATCATCGTCTTCGCTGATATCGCTTTAGATTTACCGATGGAAAACGCATAAATTCGTCGCATATCATTCGTCCAATTATTTATATATATATATATATATATATATATATATATATATATATACATATATATATGTATATATATATATATATATATATATATATATATATATATATATATATATATATATACATATATATATGTATATATATTACTGTTCACTCTTAATATATCTTACATTCTGTATACTATGTTTTTTAATTTTCTTTGATAATATATTTTCTGTTATATATATATGATAAAATTTTTTTTTTTCGATTATAATATTACATCATGAATAGTTATTGGAATAGAAAGTTTTTGTTAATTACAAATAAATAACGACAACGATATTAGAAGATTAACAAGACGTCAAATAATAATCTATCTAAAATTTCTATTATAATATCATTTTATATATATATATATATTTTTTTTTTTTTATTTTATAATATTATAATGGGAGATTACTTTAATATAGAGATAATGTTAATTAGAAATAGATATAAGTAAGGATAATGATATTAGACGATTAGACGAGATGTCAATTAATAATGGTGTATTTTTTTTAAGAAATCTCTTGAAAGATTTTGATAATGAATCTAGCTTCCTTTATATATTTCCTCGTTTAATAAATTTCGAAGAATAAAAATGAGGAAAAAGAAGTTCAGATATTTATTGTTCTTTTTCTTTTTTTCTTTTTTTTTTTTCTTTTTTCTTGCTTTTTCTCGTCAATCAAGTTTTTTTAGATATCCTTTCTGGTATTACCGATTACGTTTGTTAAGATCTATTCGTTAAAATGTATTCCTCATCGGCTTATAATCACTTTACATTTGATATATTAGGAATAATACAGGACGTGAAATAATAATATACCGGAGAAAATAAATGATAGTACACGACGAAGTAGAAAATAACTGGTTTTGTTACCGATCGTTCTTTTATTATTCTCCACGAGAACAATGACAGTTACAATCCATTAATAAAAACGTAGAAACGATGATGAAAAAAAAAAGAAAAAAAAATAAAAAAGAAAAAAATAAAAAAATAAAAGATAAAAAGCGCATCCACGTTTTTCCTTCCGGTTTATTATATATTTATATATATATATATATATATATATATATATATATATAAACAAATTAAAAAAAGTTTTTATTACTTCATATGAACTTATGCGAAAGGCGTGATTTCGTTAAATAGTTAACACAATAATAATTAAATATATATTAAAATTTTCTCTCTCTCTCTCTCTCTTTCTTTTTCTCTCTTTCTTTCACTCTCCCTCACTTTCTTTCTCTCTCACTCTCACTTTCAACAATGAATATGAGATTAACTTACAAGAAAACTCTAGCTTTCCATTTATTTTTAATCTATACATGATCGATTTTCGAAAAATCGAAACACGAAATATTCGAAAGTCACGGTATCGAATCCGATCACGTGCTTTCTCTCCCTCTCTCTCTCTCTCTCTCTCTCTCTCTCTCTCTATTTTTTCTACCTTTCTCCTTCTTTTTCTATTTATCTCTATTTCTCTCGATATCCTCGTTCGAATTCTTACGAACGAACAAATTCGTAGTATTGACAAGTGCAGAATAATTTAAAAAAAATGTACTATTATCTATATACATATAAAAAAGATAAGCTGAAGAATGATTCGATTGTGAATAATTAAAATTGCATGTCCCTTAAGCAGTTTAAATATCTTTATCATTAATGAGAGAGAAAACAAAAAACAAGGAAACAAAAAAAAAATGAAAAAGAAAAAAAAAATAAAAATAAAAACGAAAATGAAAGAATAAGATTTCTATCTACTGTATTGTGTTGATGCCTTAAGATTGGATCAGGCATGAAATTCCTTACCGATCAATTCTCGTGGAATCAGCGTGGGAAACTGTCGTTCCTTCGCTTACAATTAGTCCGTTCTACGATCCGCTCGTTCGTCGTCCAACTCGTTCGAAGAACCCAGGTCGGCATCCAATTTCGTAAAACGAGACGATCGTTTTTCGATCGAAAGATCTCAAAAATCTTTCTTCTTGCCCTTGTCGACGACAACGTTGTCATGATAACTGATCTCTTGACCAGCCACCGCTGGATGTAAATAATGTGGCTCAACGTCGATTTTTTCTTTAACACCAGAATCCAAAACCATCGAATGATGAGGACCTCGATGTAGCATCGTTGTAGCACCGTGATGTTGTTGCTGTTGTTGTTGTTGTTGTTTATTAGTTTGTTGATGTTGTTGATGCCTCTCGTCCTCTTGACTATATTTCTTCAACAAATCCCTCAACTTGTCCATATCGATTTCCTCTCCGAATTTCGAAAAAAGTTCCTTCGCACCTGTCTCGTCTAATTTCTCTGAATCCTTCAATCCTTGCTTGAACAATTGGAGAAATCTTTCGTTAGCTTCCACACCGTCTCTTGTTGTATTCTTCGATGAATTCAAATTAGGATTCAACAAAAGATCTGGTGTCTCGTGAACAACGTTAACGTTCTTATCCAAATTTTCGACCGCCAATGATTGAAGTAAAGTATTGTAATCAGGTTTGATCCTAGATGTCTCCATGCACGAACTGCAGGAACAGTTCGTTATTATTTGAACCTTTTTCTGCATAGTCATAGGATTATTTCCCTCATCCTTACAATCCAAAGTAACCTGGTACGAAAAATATTTCATTGGATTAACTGTTAAATCTTTTAAAAATATTATCATCTATTATTTAATATCTATCTCGATATCCTAATCGTATTGACCGATAGTAGATACCTACTGTATGCCAAACACTGTCGAGAGGCTGACACGAGTCGCAATAGGGTCTTATCAAATCACCAGGAGCGGACGGCTCGCTGTGGGGTACCATGTAAGAGAAACAAGCTCCAACGCACACGTTGTTGTCGAGCTCTTGGGATGAGCATTGAGGCCACGCGACTACCTGCTTGATAGGCGTCGTTTTGCACCAACTGTGCTTGTCTGGATAGAGTACTATGTTGTGGACCTGAAACGGATGATTAAATGCTCGAAGGAAATATTCCAATTATGTTAGAAAAAGAGTTCATTTCATAATTTTACAAACCTTATGTTCCCGATGGGCGTGTAATATATTCGATTGAACCAAAAAGAAAATGACTGTTGTCATTAAGTGCCACGTAGATTCCATGATCTCTGCAACAGTATAAAAAAAAGAAACTATCCTAATTTTCTTTTCCTTCTTTTTTTCTTTTTTCTTTTTTTTTCGAAGACTATGGGACTTTCGCGGATGATCAAAAGATAGAAATACAGAAGATCGAGATTGAATAATATGACTAGAAAGATTATCAAATTTTTATTACAATGTATATGATCAAATGTTATAAAATTATATTACGATATCTGTTTTCAGAAAATTAATTTATTACTTTAATTTACTTTATAGATAATTAAATAACAAATATTTGTTATTAAAAAATCAGCTCAATTATTAGATTACTTTTTATAGAAAAGTTTATTTTTTTATACAGTAACAATAACTGTAATTGGAATATTAGTTTATTATTTTATTAAATTAATATATCTTAGAGTAGAAAATTATCTCATTAGATTACTTTATTATTTTGCATAAAAAACATTTGATGAGATCGTAAAGGTAATAAAAAGACCGACTTTGTTAGTTCTACTTTATAGTTATTTTCTGCAACGTCAAAGAATATAGAAGAGTTTCGACGATTGGAATGCAAGAGAGGAGAATCGTTTTGACGAGGAATAGCTCGTCGTCATTGGTCGTTCAGTACCGGTTGCCGAGCCATAGATATAGGGAATGCGTGTTATTTGAACGGTCGAGTTGCGAGTACTCGAGAGTACCCTACTTGGCGAAGCTTAGATATTTTTTCGAGAAAACCTATTGCAATTCGAAATACGTGCAACGGCCGTGCACGTGCATGCCAATACTTTTTTCCCGAATGAATGAAAGTGCCCGGCTCGACTTGAGCGCCTTCGAGGCCTTCGGTTCGACGACCGAGCGGAATTGCGTCATCGGGATGCTTGCTCGTTATGTTGGTATCGCATGATCTCATTTCTTTTTTTATTTATTAATTTTTTTTATTCTTCTTTTTTTCTTTTTTTTTTCTTTTTCTTTCTTTCTTCCTTTCTTTCTGTTTCTCTTTTGATAAAGATTCGAAATTCCGATCGACGATATTTGTTTTATTTCGAAAAAATATATCAATAGTGGATAAGAAATGATAAGGTTGCTTCGTTGTCTTTAATTGTCTAATTATGCATTATGAATTGATATCTTTATCAAAATAAGTATACGTAACATAATTCACATTTTTCTTTTTACATTAATTATTTGTGAACGAATTTTTGATTCTATCTGGAAGGAAGTTAAATAACACGAAAATCGTAATATAACTTGTATCAGTATGATTATGCTAATATATATTTACTACTGATTGGTTCAAAGTTTCTTAGATGGGCCAAAAGTTTCTAGACGATTTTAAAAATAAATTATTCTTTTTTGAGACTCTTCAGGCTCGTAGATGGGCTTGTAATTTTACAAGCTAAGCTTGTAGTTTTACGATTGGAACAAGAAATTAGCTTAAAATGTCATGAAAAAGGATAATTGACTTTTAAAGGCATTCAAAAACTTTTAACCATCTAAGGATTTTTAGTTTTGTAATTATAATTTTTAATATTTAAGATTAATAATTTCGAATATCAAGTAACAATTAAATTTATATAGGTTGATAAAGTGGAATAAAATTGAAAAAAATAAGAAGAATAGAGAAATATAAATGTTAGATATAAAGTTAAAAGTTATATTATATATAGTGGCTTAAAATATTGAGTTCGATCTCCTTTCTCTACTTGTAAATGCAAAGTAATGGATGAAGAATGGATCTTTGGCATCGATGATGTCGCGACAAAGTCCGGTTCATTCATAGATACAGTAGGGTCACCCGTTTCTTTCTCTTTCGATCTCGAACTGTATGCTCGAGTTTTAACTTTCCAAGATTTCGAGATAAGGAAAGTCCTCGTGTCGTCGAAAAGGGGGAGTTATACTAAACCCGTTGTCAACGTCCCAACCATAAATAGTGCTGGATTTAGGGTACCAGTGCTGAATACGTGATTCACTCCTTCCGGCGACATACCACTAAATTTTTTTTCGAGTCGGAACAACAAAGCCCAACGTTTAAAAGGATCTTATCGTGTTCGTGCTCCGAAATAGAAATTCCTAGGGAGTTTATATTTCTTTCTTTCTTATATTTCTTTTTATTTCTTTTTCTTTATAATAGAAATAATTGTAACTAACATATGTGTGCGTACGCATTTTTTATGATTAATTAATGATAAGTGTTTTATAAAATAAATCATGATCAATAAATATATATATATATATATATATATATAATACTAATTATAATGCTAATTTTTCAAAAAGAAATATTCTTGAAATAGAATACAAAATATAATATCTTTGATGTTGAATTTTGAGAGACGAAACTGTAATTAGAATTAAAAGTTTTCAAAAGAATTCTAATCTCGATAAAAAAAATTTTTCAATATATCAATCCAATTGTTAGATTATCGATTTAATCGAAAATAAAGAACAATTAATTGAAATAAACGTTTGAAACACGTTAGATCGTTGGTAACACGTTAGGAAGAATGCTGTGATTCAAAGTGAATGGCACGTAAACCGTGAACACATTGAAGCCTTTTCCTTATCGCATGCGAATCCGTTAATTGTAATCACGATCTCGCGTGATCGAATAAAGTGACGTAAGGCTGTAGAACGCGTGCATGCAATTTTAATAGTATTCTGTTTATCCACCTACACAGAACGTCAACGCGATGGTATATACATATGTACGTATACGTATAATCCCTATCCGTTAAATTCACGACCGCAAATCGATAGCAGGTTAATGTCAATTCAACGATTCTAAAACGTCGTTTCGTGAAAGTGATTTTTATGTAATCACGTCGTCCATATATTTTACCGTCATTTACTTGCCACGAGTAAAGCGTAATAAACACATAAAACGCTCACGTAAACATACAAACGATATCAAATACATAGTTATTTTATTTACCGCATATATCTATATGCAAATTATGATTCTCTGTTAGAACGCGCAATAATCATAGTCGCATTATGTCGTAACATGAAAAAGAAAAAAATTGATGAATCGTACAACGTTGCCATAGGCAAAGATCGAATCTTTAACGATTAGGTCGAAGGGGATTTTAATTTCCATATTCTATGGTGTACGACCATGTTGCCCGTTTTCATTCGAGCGGAAAAAAAAAGATCGGGGACGGTGATATTCCTTCGGTTCGATATCGATTACCGATCGATGCTCATAAACTGTGAAAGTTCGAGAACAGTCTGTCTTCGTTATAATTACAACCGATCCCAATTGCCTGTGGTCTGTTTGTAAAATTTAAAGCAATGGGGAAGGATCCAAAGAGAGAAAGAGAGAGAGAGATAGAGAGAGAGAAAGAGAGAGAGAGAGAGAGAGAGAGAGAGGGAAAGAAAGATTGTATCGAAAAGGAGGATGGAAAAGGAAAAGGATCCAATTGTGAATCCAATTATGAAGAAGAAGAAGGAGGAGAAGGAGCAGGAGAAGGAGGAGAAGAAGAAGAAGAAGAAGAAGAAGAAGAAGAAGAAGAAGAAGAAGAAGAAGAAGAAGAAGAAGAGTAGAACCAGGTCTCGAATGGAATCGATCTCTCGCGCTGCGGGACTACGAGACCGAAGAAGACTACTTGAACCTGAAGTCCTTCAGGAATTCACGACGAAGACGATGAGGACGACGAAGACGTCGTTCCACGTCGTTTGTGGCTCGCTTACGTATACCCGAGCGAAGTGAATTCCACACGACAAAAGGAATCTCGTCTATCTCTTTCTCTTTCTCTCTCTTTTTCTCTCTCTCTTTCTCTCTCTCGGCGAACAATTGCCGTCTCGTCGGCCATTTCCAAGAGCCTCCAGATCGACTTTTCGTTCCTCTTCGATGCATTTCAATTCCCACCTGAAAGAACCCTCTTTCCACCTCCCCCCTCCTCTTCCACCTCTTTTTCTTTCTCCTTCTTCTCTTCTTTCTCTTTTTCTTCCTCCCTCTTCTGCTCTCGTCTTAGAGCCATCTGCTTTTTCTTCTCTCTTTCTCTCTCTCTCTCTCTCTCTCTTTCTCTCTCTCTCTCTTTCTCTCTTTCTCTTTTTCTCTTCGCGAGCCCTTCCTCGAAGGCCTTTTTTTCCCTCACAACAGCCGATGCGGCCCTTTCCTCTCTCTCTTTCTCTCTCTTTCTCCTCTTTATATTCTCGCACAGGATCTCTCTCCGATCTTCCGTTTCTTATTTCGAGTTCCGAGAACCACGAGGTATAGCAGGACAGCGCTGCGCGCGAAAAGGACGTTTCGTCGATGGTTTAAGGGTGGTAAAAATTAGGTCCCGAAACCGAAGCATCGCCAGGACCGGCTGATTTCATCTGACTAACCTATCTCTCTCGGAACAAGCACCTTTTTCTTTCGTCAGCTCTTTTTCTTTATCACACTAACGATGATACATCTACTCGTCGTGCATCCTTCCAAAAATAATTTACTGACCAAGTTGCATTTGTAAAGTTTGCGTTCAGTGATTTGAATGACCGAGTAAGACATGCAATTGGAATAAATTGGAACTCGCTTAGAAACCCTAAAGGATTACGAAGGACTATATCCAATCGTTTGTACAATTTTCAACAGTTATCTAAATATAAAGATTTTGGTGGATCCGATAGATTATATAGAAATTTGATCTAATCGATTGTTGTGATTTTGATGATCGAGCAAAGTCATGTCAAGGTGTGTAACTTTTAAGAAGAAAGTTAACACGGCCCTGGCGCGATCGTAGCCAGAAGTCCAAAGCTCTTTGTTGCTGCGCCACCTTCTCTTCTCGCCTCTGAAGCCGTGTCGGTGGCGTGGAGGTCCCACCTCCTCTTCCTCCTTCTCCTCCTCCTCCTCCTCCTCATCCTCATCCTCCTCATCCTCTTTTCCTTCTTCTTCTTCTTCTTCTTCTTCTTCTTCCTTCGGGCCCATCCTTTCGATTTGCTCGTGTCGTCGTCGTGCCGCCAGAAAGAGAGAGAAAGAGAGAAAGAGAGAGAGAGAGAGAGAGAGAGAGAGAGAGAGAGAGAGAAAGGAAGAGCGAGTAAG